AAGCCAGGGTCAGCAAGCAAGGGTCATGCAACTCTATGAAGATTATCAAACAGCAGAGCCGTATTTGGTTTGTGGGCATGCTGGAACTTTAAACATATCTGCAAAGCCAACAAGCTCAGCTGTTTTTTTTTCTGCATACATTGGAAGCCAAAGAAAAGGTGTCAGTAGATACTGACAAGGACAAGGGAGTTCTCCGCTCCCCTGTCGATACCCACAAACCGTCCCACAGTAATGCCTCCTGCTCCCAAGAGCCAGCCCAGGAGGATGAGTTGTTGCTTTTCAAGGTGCATGTACAGGTGAAACTCGAATAATTAGAATATCGTGCAAAAGTAATTGCAGTAATTGCTGCAAAAGGGGCCCAAACCAAGTACTGAGTACATATGCATGCTTGTACTTTTCAGAGGTCCGATATTGTTCTATGTACAATCCTTGTTTTATTGAATGCATGTAATAATCTAATTTTCTGAGGTTGTGGATTTGGGGTTCTTGGGGTTTTCATGAGCTGTAAGCCATAATCATCACAATTATGACAAATCACGGCTTGAATTATCTTGCTTTGCATGTAATGAGTCTATCTCATATATTAGTTTCACCTTTTAAGTTGCATTAGTGAAATAAATGAACTTTGCACAATATTCTAATTATTCGAGTTTCACCTGTACATCAACAGAAAGTGATGTATAAAGCCCTGAAAATACCTCCTCCTGACTACTACTGAAGAAAGAAGATTTAGAATCCCTGTGATGAGGTCACAGGGCAAAGAGCAATAGCATACTGTATATACCCAACAGAAACAAGCAATATAAAATTTTTTGCAGGGGCACTCAAGATGCTAGCTCATCTGTTTTCCTGCTTCCACAGAATTTCAAGGTAAAACCTAACGCTCACCCTGAAGCACAACAATTGATGGGTGGTCCACCAAGGGTCAACATTGCGGCCAATGTAAATAATTACACGGTGAAAACATACACATGATCTGCAACCTCTCTGGACCAACATGTGTTAAAAAAATATTTCATGTCTTCAGTGAAGGACCTCTATATGTATGTGTTTATCTGTAAACCTGGAATTACATACGAACGGCTAGTTTATCAATTTGCAAACTGTCACATTTCTTCCACAGAAATAATGTCATATTATTATTATTGTATGAAGGTTCTACAATATCCGCCTCTTCCATCTCAGGAAATAATGGAATACTTTAACCTCTTGCTGTCCGCCCGTAGTAAAAAAAACGGACGGACGGCACTGCAGCATCTGCGGGTTGCCGTCTCCAGACGGCAATTTTTTTCTGCTCGCGCGCGCCCCCTAGCGGGCACGCACGGGCAGAAAAGACCCGTCCAATGCGAACACCCGGTACCGGGTGTTTCACATAAGGTCTAAACCCAATCACTAAAATCTCATAGAAGCTTTATTATGTTATTGTCATTTATAAAAGTTGTGTTCGGTCTTTTTAAATGCAGTTTTATTAAAGTTACACTATGTGGAAAATAAAAAAAAGGCATATATAATGCCCTCAGTCAATAGTATCAAGACAGCAGTTTTTGATATATGAGTCGTCGTCCCCGTAACATCATTTTATCACCTGTTGATCCTGCCAGTAGTATCCTTTAAAGGAGAGCTATGAGGTGAGTGAAAATCACTCATCCTCATAGTTTGAGCCGACGTGTGACAATGAAACTGTCATGCGTCGGCTCAATTGATCGGGAAGTGAGCGAACACATACCGTCGCTCGCTCACTTCTCAACCATCCCCCTGCAGAGAGCACTAACTGTCAGTCACCGATCCCCGCAGGGATTCCCCCCTTCCCGCTCCGATCCTCTAGTGCTGAGTGGAGGAACGGAAGGGGCGGGTACAGCTGGCTCTGCCTCTAGATAGGAGGAACCAGCTGTTACTCATGCAGCTGGGTGGATCTCGACAGTAATGTCTGGATCTGTCCCGGCTGCGGCGCTCTCAGTAAACTGCGAGCTGTAGCTCGCTATATACTGAGCTTTGGGTCACGAGAGGAGGTTAGTATATGTCCTCCCGTGATCCTTAAGAGAACTATGGGGAAAAACACTTTCCCATAGTTTTCTTTTAACAGGTTAAGCTGTCCAGCAAAGCTGGCAGTTACAAGGGGATGGGACAGACCATAAAAAGCTGTCAGGCGTGCTTTGGATTAAATCTTTCTTTTTCCAAAAGAAAAAAAAAACATTCTGCTGTTACTACTTACAAAATTGTTAGCTGCAAATAGGTTTTAGGCCCCATTCACACCTGACCGTTTTGTAGCGCGTCCTACGCTCGATGAACGCTCTACAAAACGGTCAAAAAAATAAATAGCATTGTAGTCAATGGTATCGTTCCCACCTGTCCGTATTTCCGCCCGTCCCGAACGCACTACAAAACGGCCCACGCATGAAAAGGTCCCGGAGCGTTTTTTGCTGCGTATTGGTCCGTTTTGTAGGGCGTTTTCCATTTGTATACTGCCAAGTAGCCTTTGGAATCGCGCGACGGTCGCACGACTTTTTTACCGCGACTCGCGGTAAAAAAACCGCGTGACGGTCGCACGACAGATGCGCATATTACAATACGCATAGGTGTGAATGGGGCCTTAATTTGTTTGAACTCCGGGGTTTTGTAAAACGAATCCTTGCATTGGGGCTACCCCCACAGTGCAAGGGTTATGTGCTTTTTATGGTCTAGGGGAGCAAATAAAGGAGATATACTCACCTGATTCTTAATCCTATTGCGGTCGGCACTCTCCTCTCTCCCCCTTTGCTGCGGCTGTTTTATGCATTAGATGTGATGATGTCAGCGGTCCTTAGACTGCCGGTAACCAGGGGAGAAGTGGCTGTGTGGACCGGTTTTCTGGGTCCCAGTGGGACCGAGGATCAGGTGGGAATGTCTTTTTTATTGGTACCCTCTAGACCAAAACAAGAACTTAACCCTTGCAGTGTGGGGGTTAATTTTGTCATTCCAGTATCTTCTCTTTAAAGTCCAGTTAAAACTACCAAAGGGTAACTCTACTGTTGTGAGATTTCATTACGGTACGAAAAGAGTTGTCACCCTGTTATAAGAAGTGGAAAACTAACAGATCTACTGGCAGGATCAACAAATGTTAAAACTATGTTACAGTGCAGACCCAAAAACGTCTGCCTTAGTGCTTAGTGTTGTCATGGTGTTCTCCTGATTTGGACTACAAACACCTCCCACTATCTCTTCATCTCTATTACATTGGGAAGGGGTGTCTTGTAATTTACAGAAGACAGCTGGAAAAAGCTGATAACATTGTTTGAGATGTCAGTTCAGTGCAGAGGAAGTTATAAGGACACTCAAATTCTGGCAGGATCAGCAGGTATTTTTTCTGTACTTGCAGAAAATGACCATAACCTGACAACAAGTAGTGCATGTACTACTTTTTTTAGCCACACCTCAAAGCATGGTAATGTGGTACCGCGTGTTGTGGCACGTCAGGCGCATTACGACGGGAGGTGCATTTGGGGTGCTATTCAAATGAATGGCAGTGTAACGCACCTCACGTACTAATATGCACAGTAGTAGACATGTATGCTGCAGAAAAATTAGTTTAGGATATTTCGTTCTTTCAGAAATTCGTATCCGAAATTCAATTCGGTTCGGGATTCGGATGAAATCCGAATTTTCGTTCGTTTTGGATGAGTTTACGAATATTTGTTGCGAATACCACAGAAAACCGTATACAGATATTAATACTAAAGCTGAGGCTCCCAGACCCGATTCGGGATCCGAATTTCCGAATTGCACTCGGGAGCTCCCAAATGCCATTCGGGTCTGGGAGCCTCAGCTTTAGTAATATATCAAGAGCTCCCGAATGCAATCCGGAAATTCAGATCCCGAATGCCATTCGGATCTAGGAGTCTCAGCTTTAGCATTATATGTACAGTATATACTGTATTTGGCTGTTATGTTGCTGTAACGAAAATTCGTGTTCAGACCCATTCGGATGCATTCAATCGAAAAAGTCACATGTCCGATTCAGTTTAGTTTTTGAAATAAATTCGGACAGGATCCGAAAGTCGGAAATGGAAATTCGGAAGCATGCGGGTGAATTTTAATTTGGAGGTGTCCGAATTTTGGAAAATTCGTCAGAATTTTGATTCTGAACGAAACGAATCGCGTCTGTCTACACAGTAGGTGCATCGTGTGGTAGCGCACGATTAATACAGCAATATGGTGTAAATGCACCCTTAAAGGGGTTCTAAAGCCTCCCGTTTTTTTGCCTTTATCTACTGCTATCAAGCAGTAGATATGGGCAAACAGTGAAAAAAAAAAAAAACGCTAAAACAGCGGTTTAAACTTACCTTTTTTTCTTTGCGCGCTCCCGCGCCGGGAATCAGGAACTGCTCGTACGGCCGCAAAGGATCTTGGGGCGGGCGCATGCACAGTTCCGATTCTCGGCCGGGAGACGAGCAGGGACGCAAGGTCTATGGGCGCGTGCACCCGCATGCAGACACCGCTGGATCGGAAGTGCCTGCTAGCAGAGAGGAGTCAGCGCTGGATCGGAGAGTCGCCGCACCGCTGGAGGGACAGATGAAAACATCAGGAAAGAAGACGAAGATCGGAATAAAATACATAATTTAAGGTAAGTGCTAACATTTACATGGGGGGGGGGGAATGTCACTTTAATGATAAAAACAGCGTTTGTTTATAAGATAAATATAATCCAATTAGGGTTTTGATTTACTTTAACTACTTTACCACTTATAATAAACCTGAAACTAAGTTGCTCAATAGGAATCTTTATTTGTTTATTTAAAGGGGGGAATCTTTTTGTTTTTGTTTATTATAAATGTCATCTAGTAACAGAATCGTGCCCTTTGTGATCTAGACAGGAAGGTTTGATATTGCTACATATTTCATGAGACATTCTTCCCCCATAGAATACATCAGCTCTGTATGGTAATAGCATGATAGGATCTCATAGCCTCACAAGAGTTAATAGAGGTGGGAGGGGAAACAGAGACTCCTAGAGCACCACATTGATTTTTACGCTCAGAGCGGATAAGTGTCTGCTGCAAGTAAGTCCGGCTCTGTCTAACACTGCTTGTTTATATGTCAGGGGAGGAAACTGCAAGACCACATTCAGACAACAAGACTCTACAGATGGAGATGCCAGCAAGGTCCAAGGATTTACTAGTTCGATGTTCTTGCTGAGTTTCTTCAGTTCCCCCCGAATTGGGCTGAGACCATGAATAGCGAACAAGATGAACCCATCGGGGGCTTATAAGAGGCACCCTAGAACAGGTATGAAAAAAAAAAAAAAAAGGAACTGCCATTTTTAAAAACGATTGAATAATTTCTAGCAACTAGAAACAGTTTGGATTGATTATGGACCAAGGAGGCATAAAGTAACTCAAGTAAGTGAAGGGAATTTATCAACACTGGAGCTGGCAAAAACCTGGAGCAGCTGTGCATGCCAACCAATCGGCTTCTCTCTTTCATTTTCAAATCTTAACTCAACAAACTGAAAAGAGAAGCTGATTGGTTGCCATGCGCAACTGCTCCAGATTTTGTCTGCTCCAGTTTTGATAAATTCCCCTCAATGTGTATTTTGTATATAACAATAATACTAAAGTAAACTTTCAGTTATCCGGTATTCAACTAACCAGAACTCTCATCTAACCAGAAAAAAAATCCCCTGTGCACTCACTGTTTTGCTGATCTGCGGCATGTATTATCCTGGAAACGATCGGGTTTCTATTTGTGGTAATTTATGTTGTGTATGTATGTAAGTGCGTCTATTTGTCTTAATTTGCTTTTGATTACTGCATTTCAATATTAATATGAAGTCAATACAGAGTTTATGTTATGGTATAGTATGGGGGTATACTATGGGGGTATGGAGGCAAAGGGTGGGTATAGTATAGGGGTATGGTATGGGGGTATAAGGTGGGAATAGTATGGGGATTAGTTAGACTTATTTTTAATAGTAACTCTCAAGCAACCAAAACTACATTTATCCGGAATCTACCAATCCCTGTGGATGCCGAATAATGGGGAGTTTACTGTAATTACATTTTAAAACTTACTTATTAAAAGTTTTGCATGGCTTCTATATATAAAGGAAAGTAATTTGTATTCATGACCAAAACAGTACTATGTTTATGTTGCACCAATATACTTTAGGTGGTTGTAGCCGTATTAGTGTACTTTTGCAATAACACAGTTGAGTACGCTCCAGGATACTTTTTCTTTTTGCCCTAACAGGTACACTTTCAGGACAAATAAAAAAAAAAGTATCAGAGACATCACTCAACTGGGTTTTTGCACCACTACAGTTCCTATTATACCTACATTTTCATGAATTAGAGCGATGGGCGAAATGTACCATGACATATACTCTACGGTCTGTTGCTAGCACTTTTTATTACCTGTTGATTCAGCCAGCAGATCTGTTATTCTTCCACTTCCATCCACAGGGTGACAATGCCCTTTGTACAGTAAAATCTTGCAGAAATGCTTCTGGACCGTGTAGTCTTTATCAAAATGTAGTTTTAGAGGGATATAAGTATTATGTCTCCCAAAAACGTATTCTCATCTCGCCCTTATTTATACAAAACAAAATTATATCGGGCTTTTTCTGAGATGAGAAGAAAAAATTTAGTTTTAGACGGATTAAAATCCAAATTAAAATCTTACTCAAGCTTGCACTTTTTAAAGAAGTTACAGCAACAGCTTCTTTCTTTTGGAGAAAAGGTTAAAACCATACAAAATAATATGACCATTACCCCAGTTGCGTTATATGGTTTATCTTAATCCCATAACTGTCATGTTTGCTGGACAGCTTGGTCTGTTTTTTAAATGTGGAGGAAGGTATAAATAAAGGCATGTGAAAAAAAATAGGATTGTATATAAGGAATACTATTATTACCATATTAGCCTCAGGTTACATCAGGGTATAGAGGTTTTTTATCTATATTAGTCCTTTAAATTAGGAAATACATTCATCTTGATGTTTCCTCACAGTCAGGTGCCGTGGGCTCCTTCTAATCCAATGCAAGGCTTGGTGTGTTTTTAACTTAGTTACAGAAAAAGTCTTTTGATCACATATGGTATTTGCTCGTGTTTCAAAGCGCAGGATGACATAAAACAGAAACAAATACTATAAATAAACTAAAAAGGAAGAAAAAAAATTCACGCGTGCCTTTGCATGTTGCTGTCCACTCTGTTTCATGGACCGTGCAAAAAAAAGGATATACAGATGGAAAAATTTATCCCTAAATGGGAACTGTTTAGAAGAAAATTATATATATATTTTTTTAAAAAGTGGTTAGAATTTTTACAGTTTATGCATTTTAAATGTGACTCCCAGCAAATAAGTTATCATTGGCAGGTACGCAAGGTGCAAGATTAAACAGTCTATTTCAGTGATATATTATGGGAAGAGAAACGCCGCAATGTATATTTATTGGTCCCATTATTCCCATTAGGATCAGTGCACACTGGAGGCAGAATGGGATGTGAGATTTATGTTGGTGAATTTTGACCCAGAGCTTCTTCAGTACATTCTATCTATCTATCTATCTATCTATCTATCTATCTATCTATCTATCTATCTATCTATCTATCTATCTATCTATCTATCTATATATAAATAGCGCGAGAGAGAGAGAGAGAGGGGACGTTGTAGTTTATGATTATGGCATACCTGCTCTATTATTAGGCTGATGCGTTTAGGGTACAGTATTTGCCATCGTGTTTCTTGAACCCTGTGCCTGTTAAATGTTCCTCGAACAATACTGGAGATTGCTACGAGATTGGACAAGAGTTGTGCTGGCTGTTGATTAGCCATGATGATATTGGCAGACCTTACGCCACCTCTGGGGCAACATCTCGTGTCAGCGTCAGAATTTTTAAGGCTATGCTTCACCTGGAATAGGTGCAGAGGGTGTCTTTAACACTAACTTCCATTCTGGTCAATAGTTTATGACAAGGGGGTTGATTTACGAAAGGCAACTTCAACTCTGCAGGGGAATCTTCCCTTAGCTTAGTGAATGAGGTGAAGCTCTGCTGACATCCATCGTCTAATGTGCAAGCAAAAATACTGTTTTTCCTTCTTTTCTTGCATGTGATTGTGTATTCTTGCATTGCAAAGTGACTTTTCACCTTATTGGCTAAGCTCAGGGTAAATTCCATTGGAAAGTGAACAGCCTATCAACCCCAAATAGTGATATGCATAGTGCAAAAAACAATTAGAACTCACCGTTGACTGATAGGACTGCAGTAAACTGAATTCTGATTGGTTGGTATGGGCTACAGCTCTTTGCATGTTGTTACTGCTCTTTTAAATGTTTTTTTGAATGTGCCCGTATGTGGCTATTGAGGGTAGGTGTGGGGATGAAGATCATTTGGGGTATTGTATGGTCTGACCTGGATCAACCATTCAGATACAAAAACAACTTTTCTATGACTTTGCTGATCTGCATACTTCCAGATCAGTAATTTGAAGTGTTGAAGTCAGTGGGGGTGATTTACTAACCTAAACACACGCACGCACCAGGTGCGTGTGATTTTCACAAAGCAAAACGTATTTATCAACTAAAAAGTCTCTAAAAGCATATTTCCACTATTGCCATATATGGAAAAATCATGCACATGATGCATATATAATGCTGCTTCACAGTTTAGACAAAAATGGTTAGCTCATGCATTTACATTCCTGCATTCATCAACGCAAGCAACACAACAAAGAGCTAATTTACACAACATCACCTTGCAATTCATGCTTGGCTTTGCACAACACACCTGCTGGGTGTGTACACACTACAAAGGTGTTTAGATTCCACCCATAGATCATGCTGGGAGGGAACACACTACAGAGGTGTATACATGTTCCTGGTGTGTTTATAAGGTTAGTAAATCAACCCCAGTATGTCAGCAAACCAGTGAAGCAAATAGCAGTTTAATTTCACTCAGCAGTGAGGGCATCAATGGCCACCCTCTTGGCAGGTTAACTGCTTGCTCAAAGTAAATATGTGAAATTGAGGATCTCCAGCAGGTGACAACCTATAAAGTATTAACATGACTTACCATTCACTGGCCATCATTGTGCCACAATGTAATCTGCATTTAAAGTGAACCTGGCACAAAATTGGGCAGTTAAACTAAACTTAAGAAAATGAATAGGCAAGTGCTTCAGTGAAAATTGTATGTCTAAACCATCAGTAGATCCAGAGATATGGACAGCTAAAGTTGTGACGACTTTTCCTGTAATGTTCATGCTTGGCTCCACCTCCTCTGCTCTCCTGAGACTCCCTGTTGGTCAATGAGGCCACCCATAACAATAAAGGACCAATGAGGAGGCTATGGAGGCTGGAGGTGGTGAGGCAAAGCTTGGCAGAAAAAGTCAAGATTTGCATATAACCCAAGCTGCCAACAACTCTGGATCTACTGATAGTCTCCCCATGCAGATTTCACAGAAGGTAACGTCCACTTATGTTTTCTTTCATCACATGATCAGTCTAATTTGCCCAGGTTTGTGACAGCTTTACTTTAAAATATATTTGGCCAATGATGTCAGATTGGTGATAATCGAACTGGGAGAATCTGCAGTTGTGGATCTTTCCACTCAAAGGAAATTTACACAATTTATGAATTCAGGAATTTGTGAATTATCATGAATTGTATACTTATCTACAGATTAAACTAATCCACATATATTTTTTCGTGTGAAAAAAAATTATTAATTTCCTGATTTACAAATTTGTTCATCGCAACATCAGGATGGGGTACAAAGGTGGGAACTAAGCTAATTAAAATGAATTAACGTGATGGAAGGTCTACATTATAAGGAAAGGTCAGAAAAAAATGGGCTTTTTTAGCATTGAATATAAACTAGAATATATAATCTATTTAAAGTGTACGTATAGCCAAAATAGTTTTTTTTCAGTTTTGGATGGTACTGAGAAGGGTTAAACCACTGTCAGTTTGTACTTTGCTATCTATGTCCCTTTGGGAACATCTTCCTTCACTTCCTGTAATGAATACACAAGAAAAAGTGCAAGAAAATCTCTACAAATTAAGTGGAATTTTCCTCTTAGACAGTTACACACTAAGACAGGTGTCCCCATTGGAAGATTTACCCTCACCTCTTTTTCTGGTCACATCTGTAAAATATCTGTGTTGCTATTGCTTTTTGTTTCAGAGTACCTACCTAGAACATAAACAGACCAGGGCCACACAGATATCCATACGCACCCCTATGTGAAGGGTGGGTTAATGGCTTTACAGTGACACAGTGCAAA